GTACACATAAGTTCTGTTAATAATTTCACATAAATGTACACATAAATTCTGTTAGTAAATTCTTTTAGTAATAATCGTATTGTCACAAATGCGTTACGGCTAAAATTATTAACTGAACATTGTTACTGTGCCGGAAAATCGAAAAAACGAGTTATTTAATTCAAACTCAATATTTCGAAGGATATCGTAGAAGACGAAAAGGTAATTATAATACAGTGTTAAAGAGAAAAGCAGATCTCCATCGGATTCCGCAGGCATAAATTTAATGTGTGACGTAATACAATAAAAGAAAACAGAGAGGAACGAATAAAGACACAGTAACTTGGTTTCTCTGCTTTATTTGAGGAAATACGTTATTGTTGCGGAAAATTTTGCCGAAATATTTTAATTAATTCATTAATTAATAAATTATTTATTAAATCATTTATTTAATAACTAGTATTTAATAAATAATTAATAAATTATTTATTAATAGTTACTAATCATTATTTATTAGTTAATAAATTCGAAGGCGAATTCATTGCGTAATACATATGCTTGCTTGTTGTTTTGAAAAACTATTCGCAATTCATCGTGACATGCCATTTTGTAGCGCGTATTCAATGACATCGTTCAGACCCTGTGTCGCACCAAAAAACAACGTCCTAAATATCGGCTCTTCAACAGATCGACATCGAGAGTAAGTGAACGTGCGGTCGGGTGTCTCAATTTTCGCGTCAACCCATAAATTCGTACGCGAGAAATCCAAAAAAAGTCTCTATCACTTTAGAAGATTCTCTGCGTATGTAAAGTGTATGTCACGTAAACATAGGCAACGTTAACATTCGTTAAGATATACGTCAAACTAGATTAGAATGTCTGTGTGTCCCGCAGTTGCTGGTACATTGAGAGAAAAAAAATAGCTAAAATGTAAAAAATATTTATTTGTACCAATACACATACTTGACACTAAAAAAAAATTTGTCAAGTCAAAAAATATACATCTTTCAAAATCTGTAGCTTTTCATTAAAATAACTGTTTATTCTATTCTATTTTATTCTATTTAAATAAAAGAATTTCAATTTAAATAAATATGTTACTAGTGTCCACCGAATAAATATTTTTTATTCTTTAGATATTTCTTCTCTCAATGTAAAGTTTACAAAAACGGTCGATCGACGAGCCTTCTGAGAGTATCAAACTGTTTGTACTGGATAAAATCGATAAAATGCTCTGCCGATGCCTGAAGAGTCAAATTGATCGCGCGTTAGAACGATCATTATCATGAGCGTAGGTAGAGAGAGAAAGAGGGGGGAGGGGGAGCAGGGGACGTTCACGTACTTCTCTAAATTCCAGCAAAGAGAAACAATTAAATTACAAAATAATAAAAGTAAAGAAATATAACTAATACATTACAATCTACATTCTACAAAAAATCTACAGTATATGTTTTGTAATTAAAAACTAACGACAAAGTATTGCCAATACTTTTGAAGATATATGTAACGAAAATTTCTCAATTTCGCCAGACTAGATGTCAATATCTACATTGTCTGCAATAATTTTAAGAATTTTGAGAAAGAATTGGACTAGAATTTAAGCTGAGACTTTCTCCCTAGCTATGAAATATGTCCTGCATATTTCCTTTGCCCAACTGTACACAACGAGCGCCACTCTTACATAAATTTAATACTAAGAATTACTAAAGAATTTACAGTGATACTAACAGTATTTCAGTAATTATTAGCCAATACTTAATCATTGGTTAATATATTTCAAATTATATAAAAAATTACATAAAAAATTGTATATTTTTTTATTGATATTAATAATAAAATAAAAGATAATAATAATAAGAGAATAATAAGAAAAACGAAAAACGAAAAAAAATACAGATTCAAGGCAGAATTAAACCTGGGTTATCTTGTTCGTGTAGCAGCTTTATCTTTATCGTGTAGCAGCTAAGCATCCTAGATCTTCTGTTACCGGAACACTTGTTTGATGTATGTTCACTATATATTACATTTCCACTGCTTTCTCAATATTTAATCACTGCAAATTCAGTAATTTTCAGTATTAAATTTCAGTATTAAATTTCAATATTAAATTTCTGTAAAGATATAATTCATCACTACTGCGCTATTAAGCATTAATATTTAAATATGCATATTAATGATAAGGTAGTATTTAATTATTGCAACTCTAAGCACTAAAATATTTTGGATCACTGCGGGCTCTATAATTTAGTCATTACGAATTATTAACAACAGTGTTTTAAATATTCAAAATAAGTAATTAATCGCTAGCTTAGCGGTAATAAATATCTGTAAGGACACTGAAAGGTCTTTTAGTATACTATAAAGATTAAAATCTGGTTACGGTCAACAGTGTTAGAAAATCACTTCGGTGGACTATGTATGTTAAGTTTACACAGAAAAATGGCTCGCGAAAACAAAGGAGCTGAAAAAAGACATATTAAAAAAGTTAAAGATCTACGAAGGCTCGTTTTAGTATAAGTACGTTAACAAGATTTGTATAAAGATAAATTTTTGCTTCTCCCCTCGACTGAAATACTGGCCCGTGAGCATTATCTGACGAATTTAAACAAGCAGATCGCGCCTTTATATTTTTCTTTCTCTCTCTTTTTTTTTTACTGGATATATTTGTGGATCGACTTGTGGTGTTTCATGAGGTGGTGCTTATGTTTGAACTTTCTGCCGCAGACGCCGCAAGCGAAGCGTGGCTCGATACCGCACTCCATCCGTTTGTGCAGACTCAACGACTCTCGCCATTTGTATGTCTTGCCGCACGTGTTGCACGGGTATATCGAGCGCAACAGGCACGTCTGTACGCCTGAAACACACGCAATAGTCTGGTTTTATTGGGCGTCGGACTAACAGTCGATTTCAACGTCGACGGCGTGCATGCTAGAGAGTCCAACGCACGAGAGAATCGGATTATGCGCTAAGACTCTAATTCAAATTTTCCTTTCGGTGTCATTCCCGCGACAAGAGCCAAGCGACACCGATTAAGAGCAAGTACTCGCTTTGTCGCACGAGAGAGAAGCACTTATTTGGTCGGAGAGAGAGAGAGAGAGAGAGAGAGAGAGAGAGAGAGAGAGAGAAGAACGTTCTTCACCAATTGTTAAAATGAAACACGTTCTTGACAGCTTGATGACTTACTTTGAAGACGTCCCGCATATGAAGACTTTATTATATTAGCAAATTCACGCACATCTCTCTTTCCGGGATGAGATAGTCAATACACCAACATACGTCTGAGTCCACGATAAATGTGAACCATCATTTTGAAGAATAAACGGATGTTATAGCAATCACTCAACAGTACGATGGCACTCAAATAGAGGACAGGAGTGAAGGGTAAAAAAACACAAAGCCGTTTCCAACTTGTTTTTTTTTCATCTTGCCATCGTCGTTTTTCTCCCTTCATAGTTAAATTTTATTTTTCTCTATTAATACATGTCGTCCCTCCAGTTGTGAACGTAATACAGGTGTTGCCTCAGCTGGCAGTTCCGGCGAAGTTTCACATTGCACAGCGGACACGCGAACTGCGGCTCTTTGCCGCACTCTTCGCGTTTGTGTCTTGTCAGAGACGGCTTCCATATGTATTCCTTACCGCACACGTCGCAGGTGTACTGGCCGCGGTACCGCTTATGATAGTCGGACTTGACGTAACCTGGAAAGAAAGTACGTTATCAGAGCATGTTCTAGTTCGTTTGTAGACAGTTCATTGAAATACACTCTCATCGATTCTTCGCCGTGGCTTATCGCAATCGAACAACGTGCCCTTTTCCCCACAAGATAAATTATTCGCTCAGGTGTGTGTCACGTGGAGTACATCTCACGATCATGAATCCACCGAGCTCCTTCGAGTTCCATCTGAGAGCGAGTTTAAAATAGCAATGTGAGGAACTCAATTTTACTCCTTACGATGGAAGTTCGCGAATAGATCGCCACCTTCATTTTACTCCGTAGCTCATTCTCTACGTTTATATTGTTTTATGTACTTATATAAAAAATAGAAGCAACGAGCGTATTTCTGGTATTTACACTGTTTATTTCGGTAAAAAGCGAGTTATAATTAAAGATCGCATTGACGGTTCTTTCCTAAATTTCTCTTTGCTTCGTGTGTGAGTTGTATACAAAATAGGTGTAAAATGCGCGGTATTCGGAAGAAATCATTAGTAATACTAATAATGACAAGAATACGCATACGAATTCTATACACTGACATTCGACGACAATGAACGGACGTGATACCGGAGACCAAAAGAAAAATTTTTAATCGTTTCTTTATATATTGACAAATGTATTCAATATACACAATTCAATACAATTTCAAATGATAAAATAGTAATAATAGTAATAATAGCGCGATAAAACAATAAAACTAAATATATTTCCAATCAATGAGTTATTTTATACAGTGGGGAGACCGCCTTGTCCTCAAATATGAAATTAGATTATCTTCAATATTTCACTCCGTTGAAGAACGCACATTAGTATTTATGCAAAACAATTATATATATATATATATATATATATAGAAATTTCTCTCATCATACGCGAAAATAAATTCACTTGCAATAATATTATTTAAGTACAACGGATTTGAATTTTTTTTACACAATCGTAGTATTAATTAAGAAATCAAATCAAGCGAATGTTGAACGACAATATTTGCAGATCGTTTCGTTATCCTCGCTTAACGTTTCTTCATATATTTAAAAATTTCATGTTCTATAAAAAGAAAGATAAAGTGATAATTGTGGCAAAATCTTCAGTCGAGTATGATATTGGCATTCGGATTCCTAAGCGAAATCCCTTGCGAGTTTCGACCGCTTCAGAAGTTTTTCCCATTCGGTATGGTCCAATTGTGAACGTTGAGCAGATGTTTCTTCAACATCCATTTGTGTCGGATCTTCGCGCCGCACACGGGACAACTATGCTGCGGGTCCTTGCCGCACTCCTCCCGCTCGTGCCTGATCAACGACTGCATCCATCTGTACTCTTTCCCGCAGGCCGTGCAGAAGTGCCGTCCCAACCTCTTGTAATAGTCTGACGTGACGTGCGCTGGAGGACCTGCAAGAAGCAACGGACGATATGTTAATGCATTCGAAGTTCAGACACGACGATTTGCGCGACGCCTGTTACACGACGCAAATCTGTTTTGTTCACAAGATCAAACGCGTGTTCATGTGTTGTAACGCGTTACTTGACCAAATTTGTCTAGCTAATTTACGCAGCACGATCACTATTGATCGTGTCGATTTATTTGCCAAATTATTGATTAATCCAATTTTGTTCTCCGAATGTCACTAAGTAGTATTTAAGCGTACTCTCCTCAGTTCTACATTTCAAATAATTGTTACTGTTATTTCTCTCATGTCTTTACTTTCTTTCTAAAGATATTTTCTACCTAGAAGTGTCTGTTCGTCTTCGTAAGCGTATAACAGAACAAAAATCGTTAAGCTGCAACCAAAATTGCTACAGAAATCTCGCTCGTCAATTAAACTCGCTGTCCGATAATGTATTGCGTGCCTAATTAAATCGAAATGATAGGAGCTACGAAGTCATTGAAAGAAAAAGGCAGATCAGAAAATGTACCAATGCTATATTTTCTATCCTGTAAACGCTAAATTTTCCCAGACTTCGTCGTTTAAAAAATCACTGTTTCATACGATTCTAAATGCCGCCTTATACGGTAATTCATTGCCGTTGAGTCTTGTATAATAGTAAACGTAAGCAAAACGAATATCGCGAGATAAACGTTTGTGACTTACGTGACATCGGTATCAATGTCGATACAAATATTGCTTGTTCGTTTTCTTAATATATCGCATATACAACGAATCGCTCGTACTCGTACTTATTCCATACTCTCGCATTACTCAGTCAATTTGTCGCATTTAATTCGGCATATTTGCAAACACACCGATTTCACGTATTCTATCTCGAATTCGGATTCTTTTTTCAGCAAAATTCTTCGATTCATTCTCGTTTAACGCATTATTCATCACACAACGATTATCCACGGACACAATCTCCAATACACAAATATCTTCTTATCGTAACACATATCGTCAGAGTTGATGTTTCATAAAAAAATGATAAATTATATACAGGTACGGAAAAGCATTGCTGATGTCCCAAAGAATTACACGTCGCTACACATAATTTTATACGATACTATCTATCTCGATGATAAAGAACTACTTTACATTTATCGTCTCGCGATACTTAGCATGTTGACTGGCACGTACCGGCTTCTATGTTTTACAGCTTAATTAAAGTTTCAACCAACCAAATTGAATATATACGGAAAATATAAATACATTTTCCGATGTATATATTTGTTAACTAATTTTATTGGCTCTTTATTGACTATATATTTTATTCATTACATTTTATGCGAAAATAATGAGAAATAATTTAATGAGACGAAATAATTTAATGAGACGAGGAATATCATAATGTCGTTCTTCAGTAACCAGATGATAATCAACGTGTTAAGTATACTTATGAATACACGACTCGTATCTATAAAAATTATGAAATGTCAGTACAAATTATACTTCTCTAAAATGTGATTTTATTTTTCTCATTTCATGTATTTATGTAGAAAAGAATATTTTTCCAAATGAAATCACACAGTAGAATGATTTTCCCGACTCTAATCTCTGTTGCTGTGTTACAAAAATGCCCATATTACAGCTGCAAGCCAAATCATTGAAGATATATGAAAATATCTGCAAGATTTACCTTAAACATTACGAATGTAATATTTTTCTTATCTCAGTGATATTTAATCGAATACTCTGTCTTCATTCGTGTTATGAAACGATTGCATTATGAAATACGCTATTTGGTTGAAAAAAAAAGGTTTATAATACATTGCATAATATAAAAATTGGTATATTAAACTGAAGTATTTTGGCCAACAAAAAGGATACAACACACCCGCACTAATTCCCCCGACACGCACATTTAATTATACTAATACGAATTAATTAATTCTCAGTTCTTTATTGCGTCGCGAAAGTTCTCTCGATCTTTGATCCCACGAGAAACCACGCTCATGTTCATGTAATCAAGAATTGATTCGGAAACGATGGGCAACTGATATCATTCGGGTTCAGCTGGCAGCAATCGCGTCGTCGAGGGAGTTCCTTTTCGATGACGGATTCCTCTCGCGAAAGCTAATTCTCCAGCTTATGTACGTTGTTTTCGTGGCGCAGAAGGTAATCCTTGCGTTTGAACTTTCTGCCGCAAAGCGTGCAGTTGTGCTTCGGCAGCATGCCGCAGCCCTCACGCAGGTGCCTCGTCAAGGAGTCGGTCCACGTGTAACGCCTGCCGCATTTATGACACGTGAAGGGTGAGTCGTAGTTGACGCGGCAGTGCTCCCTCTTGGATTCTGAAACAGGCCGCAGAAAGGGCGACGGTGAGATCACTGATTTCATCGGCGACCCTTTCAGCATTCGGCTCGGCATCGATAGACATGCCGATTCGCTCGAATCGATCGGTTCGAACGGGCAGACAAGTCAATGATAGCTCGCTAATAGAAAAGCAACGTCGTATTGAGTCTGAGTTTCTTCGTTTTGACAGCCGTATTAATAGTCGTGTTAACCAGCCTCGGTCATACTTCTTTTTTAGATTGTAACCTTAACTACTACGACTTCGGTATTCACAAAGAAAAAATTTAATTTCGTTATCGTTGACAATAATTGCTTCTGGTATAGCGAGTTCTATGTTCATGGCAGTTTATAGACAATTATGGAAATTTGTACAAATCAATTTTCGCAGATCTCGCAATAAAGAGTACACATTTTATTTCTTTAGTTGCAATTTTGATTCTCAGTTGTGACTCACATCGCTCAAGGGATGATCGATTCGCTGTAACATGTTATATCGACGTATGCTAAGATGATTAATCAAATTAGCATGTTATAACAGTTTAAGTAAATGAATAGGAAAACTTAATCATACGTTGTAAGTTTCATTAAATGATTATCCGGATGTCAATGATAATTATTCTCTCTTGATCACTACACAATTACTGTACTGGATAACTGTTGTTAGTTGTACGTGATTTTATTATGAAATTAATTACAAAATTAATACGATTATTAAACACGTATTAATTTAGATGGATCATAAGAGAATTTCTCGTTAAATTATCGAATTATTCTTTATATAGTCAACACTTACATTGGCGATCTACACTTGGCAGCACAGTATTGGCATAATCTTCCTAAAGAATTTTTAGAGTACTTCATTCTGCGCAAAAATTATAGAATGATATCGTAATACTTAATTGAGGACAACTAAACACTAGAATACAACGAACTAAAAAAAATCTTCTTCTCTTTGTCTCTCGGCGCAGATCCTTTCCAGCAATAATAGAGTTTAGCAGCAAATTTCTCAACAAGCTAATAATATTAGATAATAATATTAGATTATGGTTGTTTAATAGTAATAATATAAATTCAGTACAAATATTTTTACATATTTTTATTTCCGAAAGAAGTAATTTCAGTTTTTCTGAGTCAATATTTTGGTTTTACGTTAACGCTGCAAATTTAGTCGAATTTGAAGAACCAATGGAGAAATTCGAGGAGTAATACAACATAGTCTATAATCTTTTGTGATGCCATAAATGGTTACTTACTGCCTTGTTGCACATGGTTTCTCCGATTGAGCCACATCTACGCTATGAAAAAGAATTATTAATCTTATTATAAATTATAGTCATTTTTGGCGCCAAACATATCCTTTTGTTCTAATAAAAAAAGTAGTAATAGTAATATGCGCATGAAATTATGATTAACAATATTATAATAATGTTTACTACAAAAACAGATTTCTTGGATATAATTATTCCATCATGCATTTATAATCATAAATATCAAATACTTTTTTTTTCAATATACATGAATATCAATGGCAATGAGTGAGCGTCCGAAACTACGACGCAGCCAAAAACAGGATGCTGAATCAGGAAACAGGACACCGATTCACGAACAAAGATATATCATGTATTTCAAAACGTATTAAATCATTTATTGTAAAAAGTTTTTCTGATTTTAACAAACATTTTACGAATTCACCGACAATAAAGAAATACCCGAGTCGGAATTTAGAATTCTATGAGGTTGGCATGCATAGTCTGTCATTGTCTTCACAAACATTTGATTATTAACTTGTAATACTTATTCGATCTAATAAGATATCGATTGAAACAACTAAATAACATTTCATGAATTCCAATTCATTATTAATTACTTTCTCAATCAAAGGTTATATTCAATTTATAATTAAAAATATCGGAATAAATTCCACTGGTGTTGAGATTTGTTTCTCTAATAATATATTGGGATATGAATTTCACTTTGAATCTGCCAAAGCCTTTTTCACATCTGTTTAACTTCGTGATTCTGTAAGTTAAAATTAAATCCTTGATATTTACACAACTGTTATTCTTGGGGGGCTTTATAACTTCCTATCTCTCCTCTCATTTTCTTCAAATATTCACGATCTACAATAATTTCCAGCTCCAATAAAAAAAATAGTAATAAGGAGATTATGAAAATAGAAAGTTATTGTGTTTTAAATATAATAATATAAACAAATATATTTACCTATGTTAATTATTTAATATTTACTTATCGCATATATTCTATCTATATATTTGAGCATGTTATATGAATAATACATTGTTTATTCAAATTAAAAATAAAGTTTAAACAAAGGATGTATTAAAATAATGGAATATTAAAAATAATTCTTAAATAAATATTTCTTCAAATCTCCACATGAACGAAACAGCAGTAAGAAACCATTTGTAGCATTAAGATAGGAGAATTGCTTGAATAATGTTATATTTCACGATTTTTCTTCAAGTTCAATGGCATTTGAAAGATTAATGCAGAAGTAAAATTTCGATTCAGGTTAACAGACACAAAACACAATAGCGATACATATTATTTTGGTTCTAAGCACATAATAACCTGACATACAAAATACAATATTCATTCGATGTAGCTTCCGAGTTGACGCCGCTCTCGAGGTTTTATATTCGAATTTCGTGAACATTTCAATTCACTTCTTTAGAATGAGGATCGACTTGAACTGTTTCAATGTCGAATACGAAACCTCGAAAGACGCGGCGCCAACTCGGAAGTTACATCGAATGTTTATCCATATCACGAAAGCTTAAAATTTCAGACAACATAATAATACGATATTTACGGTTTAACATCCAACTAAACATTTCGTTGTTATTTGCACATTATGAAATATATAATAACGATATTTGCTTTCGCGAAGGACTTTCGCGCTTTCTGCAATACTAATAAGCAAAAGGAACATGAAAGGAACGGCGATGTTTCTCTCGCACGTAATCCGTTCATCAAAAAGGCGGAGATAGAAGCACAAGTTACAAACAGTCGTAATTTCGAATCAATTATAATCGATCGAAATCTCATGATTGCATTGTCATGATCGCGTCATTACATTTGTCGCGACGTTATCGAGACTCTTCAACGTGCGCTCATCTCATAAATAATAATATATACATTTCGCACGCGGGAACACATTCGTGTGTCGTGACTCGCGAAATCGGAGGATCAGCATATTGGCTTATTTCTCGTTCTTCGCAACAACATTTCCTCCGGAAATGCGTCCTGCACGTCCGACGGGACGTCCTGCTGCGTACGCAGCAACGCAGCCGCGCGCTTTACGCGACCGCACTCGTTCTTCAGGTGTTTGTTGAGAGAGTCACGCCAGCGATACTGCTTTCCACAGTACCGGCACGTGGCCTTCGGCTCTTTGCCGCACTCCTCGCGCAGGTGCCGCTGATAAGACGACCTCCACGAGTAGATCTTGCCGCAGGCGTCACACTGGTGGGAGCTGATTGCGCTGCCACGTTTTCCCGCATCGCCGAGCCGCCATCCTGAAACGTCGTTCCACCCGTTAAAAAAACAGAGACCCTATCTCTGTTTCGCGCGTCCACGAACGCCTGCTCGGATACTTTTAACAGCGCTCGTGTGCATGTCTTTATCTAATGAAGTATTTCCGCAAGATATATTGCAGAAAGATGATCGTAGATTTTCGAACTAATGACCGTATTAGATTTTTAGATACCCAGATAGCACAGAAATATTTTATGAATGTTCTGTGAATATTCGTCACGAATATTTATACATTCATAGAATGTTCTAAACATATTGTTATATATGTTTATAGTATGTTCATAGTATATTCCAATGACCTATTATAAATGTTTTATAAATGTGCATAGAATATTTTATCGAATGTTGTGGGCAGGTGTGTGGAGTAGTTATGGCAATAAAAAACAGTAGATGAACACATGAAAACAGTCACACGCGTGCACGCGCAGATCTCAGTTTCCAATTAAATACGTATATCATAATGTGTGCGTGTATATATATGCAAGATTGTCTACTTTCTTTTCAGTCAATGCATTGCACATGTGCGCTAAATAGACTTTACAAATGTTCTAAGAGCGTTTCTTTTCTATTACGAATATACGAATCTCTGCCTACAATATTCTACACATATCATATATAGAATATCCGATTTGAATATTCTGAAATTAAAAATATTCATAGAATATCTTATGTTATCTAGATAGGAAAACAGGAGCTTTCCTGTCCCAACAATGGAACATTCTCTGTGTGCCTAGTGAAACTAGAATTCCAGTCTTTCGCGAATAGTACTCCTTCGCATTTTTTTGCATTTCTCGAATAAATTTAATATTAGCTGTCTGGAATATTGACGTTATCGATTGACAACGATGTACAAGGCGATGATCGGATATACCGATGAATCGTTTGGATATCGGGGAAATATACCAGACAAAGAAGAAGAAACGATTTATGCGTCTCTCAACGATTCATTTTTACTAACGATGACATTGATTTTTTATAGAACAGGATATTAATCGTGGTGAAAGCGTTAAATTAACAAGTACACTTACTGTTCGTTATATTTGTAAAGAGCAGAGATAACTCGTATTTTTATTTCATTTCTTTCTTGTACAAAAACAACGGTACGTTGAGTAAGTAACATGTGAACTACAAGCTCGATGATAGTTATATGTATATATGTAGCGATCTGCATACAATTACGAGGGTGAATCAAATATAAACGAGCCTTTTTAAATTGCACGCCCGTCGGCGGTGTAAGGGGCCTACAACGTTTTGGACAGTGGAGGAGGGTCATGTGGAAGGCAGTAATAACGTTTGGCGCGCCACGTGCTTCTTACTCTCAGCAGCAATCACAATGAGCGAGAAAGAGGTACACCCCGCAGTTGCACAACGTGTTATTATTAAGTTTCTCGTCAACGAAAATGTAAATGCTGCTGAAATTCGGCGCCGTTTACTCCCACAGTTCGGGGAAAGAACCCTTTCATGGGCTCGGCAGTAATGTAACGAATTTAAGAAAGGACGGGAGCGTGTTGAAAACATTGCCGCCGTCTCTGCACCAGTATCACAGCGCAAAACACCGAGGCTGTTCGAGAACTCATCGAAGGCGATCGGCACTTAACTATTCATGAAATCTCTCAGGAACTTCAGTTCGAGCTGCCTATCGGTCAAAAAGGCGCGGCATTCCGATCAGAAGTATGTTGCTTCTCCATGACAACGCCAGACCGTAGCAGTAACACAAGAAAAATTGGCCGATATACGCTGGGCTATCCTAGAACATCCATCCTACAACCCAGACCTATCACTATGCGACTTCCATATGTTTAGGCCACTCAAGGAAGCCCTTAGTGGACAGCGCTTCACAACGAACGAGGAGGTGCAACAGTTCGTGTGCAATTGATTTGATATACGTTCGCGAATTTTTTATGATACCGGGATTAAAAAATTACCAGACCATTGGAAAAAGTATATAGATAAGATGGGGGACTATGCAGAAAAATAAAAAAAATGTAAATTAGAATTGATTTTGAAAAATGGTTCTTTTTGCAAAAGGCTCGTTTATATTTGATCCACCCTCGTATAAGAATTACTTTCTCGTTTGACCGTTAGAAGGTTTAACGTTAAAGCCGTTACGCATGAAATTATGTCTCGACAAAAACGCTTGAATCGTAAGAAAATTAAGTGTTCTCAAGCTGGTGTGCTGTATCGATTACGAAAAGCGGTTACGCGATTTGGAGATAAAATGGATCTTAGGTGCTTGACATCCACATGGATACGTTTAAAACGGATCATTTTCATATACGTCAAATGATCGTTTTACAGAGTAGCACGGAATATTATTATTATTATTATTATTATTATTATTACTATTACGAGATTCTGTCGTATACGTCTTTGCTCTATCCGTATCGATGGCGAATCGCTGCGAAGTAATCTTTTGACATGTGTTTAACGTTCTCTCAGAACTTAAAAACGGAACGATACGTATCGAGCAAATGAGTATAAACATCGACAATTCAATGTATGTGTGTGTGTGTGTGTGTTCTTCCTCCATCTTATTTCTGTACTTTCAAAAAACGCGCTATAATATAAATTCAATCATTACACAATCAAGCCGTAAGGCTATAAATAGAAGTAAATTCGTTTTTACTTGAGCATAAGATTCGTTTCAAGCTGACGTTTCTTTTGATTTCACGTCTATCTTAAGGAAGTTATAAAGCTTAGCATCGTATTTTCAGTGACGCAACAAAGGGGTCACTTGTAAATTTAGTATTTATCAAGCAAATTTACGTTCTCATAGATGAATTTCACTGCTTAAATAATATATATTAATATAAAATGAAGTTAAGGAACTGAAGTTAAGGTAATATACACACAATATTACAAATACGAAAAATATATTATCTTTTGTTTTTCTTATTAATGCTATATTTATGCATCAATTGATCTAATAAAGTTATATAGATAATAGAAAGAAGTATATATACGTGTTTAAATATGTGCATATACACATATGTATTATGTATTACTATAAATTATAAACTTTACACTGTTGTATATATATATCATCACAAAATGCTCAATAAATCTAAAATTTGCAGCTAATATTTGCATATTAGTCTTTAATATCATTATAGTTTTTCATCAAAATTTTATTTTTATAATTAAGAAGATATTAAAAATAGAAATTAAAAATAGCACGCTAATCTCTCAAGGAACACGTAGAAAAAGTATCAACTTTAGTTGCAAATATCTCAACTTTCAAATGGTCAATCTTTATCTAATTGTACGAACAGTTAAATAATATTTCAATGTATACTTAGTGCAAGTTTCATCAAATTTTTCAGTTTTATCAAATTCATTTCACTTTACAACCTCCTTAAAATATTTTGTATATTAAATCTGTTTTACTTTTATAAATCTATTAAATAAGAAATAAATTTTCCTGCGTTTTTCAACATGATATGTCAAGGAATAATTTTCGCATTTTAAAAAAGTGGAGGAACTGATCATGATTAATTCACTAGTTAACAATGTCAAAAAAGTTTGATTTCTCGCCTAAAAACAATTAACAACAAAGATCGTGTTTCCTTACAAAATAGTATAAAGGTTTCAACAAATTTGCGCTCAATGTCTACTATGCGCTCAGTCAACCGTGACTCGAACATCACGTACGCCATAATTCGATAATATTAACAAAGAGGAACGACGTCCGAATACTATGTGTTGTTATGTGTAGACTACCTCGAGATTATCCTCATATTTATCCGAATCATTGATAATGTGAGAAAACGTAATGAACACGCCAGTCCTCGTAGCTCTCGTGTCTAAAAAAAAAAGGAAAAGTCGTATTCACACACAAGCGAGAACTTTTTCAGTTGAATGACTGAGTATTTTAGTCGTGCAATTGTCACGTTAGATCATCAGCAATCTGTGAATCGATTGTCTCTTCAAAATCGCGAAATCACAGAACATAGCCGTGTACCGTCCACACGTGTCGCTGGAAGTTAGATCGCTGATGGAACGCCTTGTGACAGTAGCGGCACATGTACTGCGGCAACTTGCCGCATTCTTCGCGCAGGTGACGGTTCAAGGTGCTCTTGTTAGTGTAGGATCTGTTGCACTTCGAACAGGGATACGGCTTCCGAAAAATGTGTGTGAGCATACTTCTCGGCTGCGACCGCTCTGTTCGACCTGAAAGCAAATTTCGTAGCATGATTAATGTGTACTCGACGTGGCCAATCGGCAAGAATTCAATCCACTCGTGATCTTCGCGATGTAATATTTTCGCGGAACGGCTCTTGTCTTCGACTCACTTTTTGCCTTCCATACGTGGATGAATTCCATTCAAAAAAGATAAATGAGAAAAAAGAAAAATCACTCAGACTTAAGAGAAGTAACGTGACTGATAACTGTTAGTCTTGATAGAGTTTGCAGAAAAATAGGACGCGTTTAGCAAGCTTAGAAAATTCTTAAACATTTTGCTTAAAAAGATTCAATGAATCCGTAAAAGTGTAGGTCAATATCGAAAATAAAATCAGTTTGTGATATTGAGATACGAGAATCCATAATAATCGTGTAATTGCTCTGAGAAAAATGATCGAAATTTTGCTTAAACAAACTAAATTTTTTCAAACACAACGTTTATCTCCACTGAATAAGTCATAAAGATGCTGTGATAAGTTATCAATTGATTCGACGATTGCAATTTGATCAGTAACTCAACGCAACGTATTGTTGCAATAACGCAACGTTGATGACTAAATCACAATCGTCCAATTAATTGATAACTCATTATAGCATCTGTATAATTTGTTCAGCGGACACAATATTTTTTTTAATGAGAATAATCGTCAATTTTATCGAACCAACAGCTATTTTCCTCAGTGTGTAATAAAGAAAGATACTGCCTGGTGTAAGTTAGCAATTAATTATCATAGATTCTCAATATCTTGCATCATATTTCACTTTTCGCATTTGTATGTGTGTATCCCTCTTCAGTTCAGCGATCTTCCAACGTCTTCATGATTATGTCTTCGTGATCATATCTTCATCATGTCTTCAAGCAACGTAGCCGTTCCCTCACAAGCTATTTTTATTTATAAGACGCTGACTAATAAGAAAGGTCATAAAGCATTATCAAACCGTACATATTAATTATAATTTTATTATATATCGCGCAATATGTAGTAATTATAATAAAATTATAATAAACTACAATGAAACACCGTAAACGGGGTCACATACAACTAAGGCCTCGGTGAATGTCCATTTAACGTCCAAATACGAGAGAATTAGTCAACTTATCACAGAATTTTTTCTTGTCGACAAAATCGAATTTAGCGAAAGGAATCTTTCAACGACGCACCGCGACTCTCCAACATCTCAGCTCACAGATTACAACTCCCCATTTCGATTTTCGGTGTAGCAATGTCGATCATACAACACTGATTCCCTATTAATATTCTTATAACATGGTGTTCTAACAGCGTTAAGTAATAGTTCAATTGTAAAACCCACTACCATTAAGATTACAATATATTTGCTATGCAACCATATATGCAATCAATGACGGATAAACTAATAGTTCTTACGTAGCGTGAGAAAAAAAGGATAAATGCTGAGTAAAAACTAATCAAGTGTAATAGTATGAAGGGAAAAAACAGCGAACTCCACGAAGCGTCGCTTTCGATCTCGACAGATATTCAAGATTAGTTAGTCCTAACAAATCATTCTTATCTTTCTCGCTTAAAAGTTTCTTTTTTCGCGGGAAATGTCGATTATAATCACATTTGTCTGCAATCACCGCTCATACGTAATCTTATCTATTCTTTAATGCGTTATCATCAATACTCTTCGTTTCGACGTAATTTCAGCCTTGACGTAATTTCAGCCTTGACGAATACTAAACAATTTTTGCAGTCTCCAAATCGTTTTTGAACTGTCGCAGTCGTTTACAAAGAATGATATCAACTATCCGTATTCCACAGTCTTCACAAAATATGGCTTTCAATCAGGGTCGGATTTTGCCAATAGGCACTATAGTCACTATAGTCACGTATCTAAGACGACAAATTTTGAAAGAGAGAGAAAGGAGCAAAGAAGTATACCTCTTTCTAATGTATAAGATGTCTGATACAAGACGTGTCAACACTTATGCGTAAGTGGAGTTCATCAAACTTGACAAAAAAGTATTCTAGCAGTTCGCAAATAACTTGATGACAATTGAGATATTAATTAAAAAAGATTGGCGAATCAATACGTGTGATACAGTGGATCGAGTTCTCTAGAGCAATCTGAAGAAATATATTTCAATAATTATCGCGGTTGTTTGCAAACCTATTCTATTCAATTTGATACGCTTCACCTGAACACGAGCGTTGATACGATAACTGTTAAATATAAATTTGCTCCAATCTATCACATCTCACACAAAAACAATAAAAATTATTATTTATATATTTAATAACTTTTTAAATTCTTCTTCAATTACTTTAAAGCTTCTACAATGGAATTTTCCTTTTGATATCACAATTAAATAAAAATAATTCGAATTATATCAATAAAAAGAAGAGAGCAATATTCAAAAAAAATTCTTAAAAAATTCTTAAAAATAAAAATGATTTATTTATATACTAATATACTTATTTAAAAATGACTTAATTATATACATCAGATATAAATTCGATAATTATTATCGATAGTCACATAAAGTGAAAAATGGAAACTAAAAATAAAATATAAAAAATAGGGCAAAATAACCTAATGAAATATATCTAACGGAGATATAAATTTTTTCTACATGGTCCCAGAATTACCGTATGTGAAATATACCGGAAGATTCTTGGTATCAAGCAAAGCAACTTTTCATTTACTAAAATTCCGTTTGAAAAATAGTTTTTAGTAAATGAGAGCTGTTACAAGTTATATTACTTTATTTTTATTCGTTCTTTCAGTAGTATTGGTAAATTCTTTTGTATCACATAAGTACTATTTAAAATAGCGGCAAATTCGTATATTATGCATAGTTACGTAATAAAATCTTTAATGAGATAGAAGAGAAACAACATACAAGATTTAGGTAATATTTTGTGGTCCTGCATTGCGCGCCACTTTTGACTCGCGCGTAACCTATCATACTAATTCGATAACTTTAAATAGCTCCCATTTTAAAAAAATCATTCGAATAGAATTTTAATCAACAAAAAGTTGCTTTACTTGATATCAAAAATTTCCCAATGTATTCTACATGCGATATTCTGGAATGTCCCATAATAAAAACAAATTACGGCATGTTTCACATTCGTATGATGAGTAATACAATTTTATCACATAATACAATTTAAATTTTGTTAAATTGCATTTTTAATTAATTTGTAAATTTACCTAATCATTTATCATCACTTTTACGATCTTTTCTTACGATATATGTATATATCTTATTAGAAAGAGAGAGAGAGAGAGAGAGAGAGAGAGAGAGAGAGAGAGAGAGAGAGAGAGAGAGAGAGAGAGAGTGTGTGTGTGTGTGTGTGTGTGTGTGTGTGTGTGTGTGTGTGTGTGTGTGTGTGTGTGTGTGTGTTATCCATTCGTCATATTATATAAAGATTATTTAATAAGTTACAGTTAGGATAATTTTTAATTTTGTGTACTCTTAAAAAGTCCTGATTTACAGGCACTATTCATATGTCTATAAGCGACGAACAGCTAAATCCGACCCTGTTGTCATTAATGATACAACCTAGGAACAGCCCTTAAATAGTATTTATACCAGAAATTGTTTTCACTTTTCGTCTTCTCATCGATCGTATATATCTTTCGAGATTTTTACACCCAAAACCATTTTTCGCGTCTCGCGCATGCACTGCACACACACTCGCACTCGCGTTTAAACGAAGCGACACAAATTAAGAACACAAATTGAATGTTTAACGAATAATGCTTCGCAACGATTAACAAGAACGATTATTATCATCGTTTCCTGATAGAGGAAACCGATCGCGACAATCTGTCCGATTTATAGGAACAAGATCGAGAATTTCTTCTTATTTTCTTCTTCGAGTTCTTCTTCTTCTATTGATGTGCTGCCACAGAGAGTTTATACCTCTTTCGTTCTCTTCATCGGAGTATTAATCTTCTTCAGTTGTCAGTCTAACACGAATGCGACATACTATCAATTAACTTTTGACGAATCTGATAACACATACCAAATAAATCGTAAAAAAAATGCTAGCTACACATATTCACATCGCGATCACTATCAAGTACGGCATGCGATAATTCACGTCTTCGAATAACTTTTCAAGTAGCGAAATACACAATCCTCCTAATCTAGGAACTCGCTTAAATCCTAATCAGTCCGTCATCTAACGCACGGTATATCTTTGAGACGATCATCGAAACCAAGCTCGAAAGTCACTATCTCTCAGTGTCGGCTCTCCTGTGAGGTATCTGCCGGTGGATAAAACACGAAGAATAAACCTCGTAGAGTTGATCGATCTAGCCAGCCGGACGACATTACGATAATACTCTGTCTCGATACCGCTATTCTTCGCGTTCCACCTACCAGGATTTACTAGAGAGCCTCAAGTAGAAGAGAGGCGCCAACAGGATCACGTGTAATCAGCTAACCTGTGATTGGCCAGCATGATTCCTACTGGTATGGACATTAATGTTTATTATTACCATTCTTGCAGACAAATTTTTAAGGTTAGCGATCGCTGGGGTTGATATTTGTGCCTCAAAAATGACAAAACAATAAACATTTGTAACAGTAACATTACAACGATATTATAATTTCCCACTCAAAAATGTAACTGTTATATACAATGCATGTTATATTGCGCTTATTATTAAGTAATAAATTAAAACATTGATGTAATGCTATTGTTAGTTGGTTTATTTGAAATAAGTTACATACTGATGTCGTTTTTGAGGTATAAATATCAAATATCAACGTCGGTGATCGTCCCCCCCCCCCTTCCAAATTTGTCTACAACAATGGTAATAATAAGCACCACAGTTTTCGTACAAATAGGAATTATGCCAGCCAATCATAGAATAGCTACTCACACGACCTTGTTGACACGTCTCTCCCACTTGAGATTTTCTAGGACTTACCCGACCGAAGCGACCGACCGTAACAAACGTTAACTTCCGAACTTGGGTCATAATTAATGGACCCTTGCTGTATATCTAGCAGTCGACACAATAACCTGTATCGCCAAACATCAGGGATTATCTACCATCCGACACAAAGTTTCACGGTTATTCGGATATCTTGAGTGCTGAGTCCCGTCGAGATCGAAACTGTTCGATCGCTCTTGCATGGCTGAGCGGTTTGAACGCTTGTCCACCTTCACTGCGGACGATGCGGTTTGGGCCGTATCACCGCAACGCGACTGTCCCGAGGCGGGCGAGTATCCACGAAGGAGATGCCGTGGATGGTGAAGGCATGTCGTTTGAAGTTGGCTTTCTGCTTGAAGCCCCGATGGCAAATCTCGCAGATGTATTGCGGCTGCTTGTGGCACTCGTCGTTCAAGTGACGCTTCAGGCTGCCCTTGTTCCTATAAGCTCTGCCGCACTTATGGCAGGGAAACGGCTTCGGCAGGCAGTCCTGGCTTTGCGGCAAGGAGCGCCTCTTCTGCGAGTATCCACCTGAAATATAGAGGATGGAAGCGCTCGATTACTGGATCTCGTCTCGACGAAATCGAGCACGAAAACGGCAATGACAGAAGCGTGCGTGAACTTTAAAAGCACGAAGATGATCGTCGAACCCGAAGCCAGATTGCTTGTCTCTAGTGCGTATGCGCGCGTGTACATGAAGAGCTAATGTGTGAGGAGTCGCGCGGTAAAGGCCTTTATGTTCCGTTAGTACTGTTAATCCTCTAATGTACCACAGGATGAGTGGGAACAGTCGCTTTGCGCCAGAGGCGTTTTAACAAGGGAATGACCAACCAGTTCGTTGAGAGATCGTGATCTTCCGTGTGTTAAGAGCTTGCAAAAGTTGACCGGATCGTCGATGGTTCCATTGACACGGAAGATAAATTATTTGAAAACACAGAATAGCAGAAAATTATTTGAAAGGCGGCAGACTGTTGGGAATGACGATGGCAGATGTTCGGATTGACGTAAATATAGCATTAATGAAAGAAATATTACATGGGTGGCTGACAATCCAACGAACGTTTGCGAGCTCTTGATAAAATCTTGCACTTCGAGCTGTCGTTACAAAATCTTCAAACGACTTCGTGACTGGGAGTCAGTATATATCCATCGTCTATTTATTTAAATATTCTTTATTTCGAAATATTTCTCCAAACGCTTCTAAAAGCAAGAGAAATACGAACGCGTTGCGCTTGCGATTCTCGTGCAACAAGTACATGACGCATGAATCGAGAATCCAAGCTCTCGACGTGTTCGTGCAACTCGATCGAGAGACTGCTTTGAGGTTGAAGGACGATTAGGAGTCGCGTTGTGATTCTTAGGTGCTTCCTTAGGAAGGTCTCGAAGATCAGGATCTACATTACGAAGCCGTGCCGAAAGTTGAATCTTCACTTGTTCTTCCCGCAGACGTAGCAAATTTACCGCAAGCTCTTCCCACACTCGGCTCGAGCGTCTAGGATCTTCCACGAACGTAGTAGGATTAAGACTCGTGTGTGTGTGTGCGAGTATGTATGTATATGCGTGCGTGCGTGCGTGCGTGCGTGCATGCGCGCGCGCGCGCGCGCGCGCGTGTGTGTGTGTGTGTGTGTTTTTCCTCGCCGCAGTTGTTCTGTTTGATGACGTTAGAAGCGACAAACATATATCCAGAATTCTTGCTACGTGTATACATTCAAAAAAACAAATATACCGCAAAATAACATTTATGATTAATTCAGCACACTTGTAAAATATTCCGAAAACTTTTCTTTCCGCACAATAATTAATGAATAAAAATAAAATTAACATAACATGCAATCTTTCTTTTTAACCTAAACCTTTTCTCGAAATTTTATCACATTAATTTTACGGATATTTATATTTATATTGGTTATTTGCGCAAAAGAAGAAAGTCTTCAGAATATTTTATAGGTGTACTGAATCAATCACAAATGTCATTTTGTGGGCGTATTTGTTTTATTTTAACCTACAATCCTCAAGAATTCTAGGCATGGATTTTCTTGTCCATTTTTACGTTATCAAACAAGATGGTCACGGCGAAGACACAAGAGCCTTAAAACGCGCAATGATGCCGCCGCCTGAGGTACTGTCGATACCGTTTTTCCGTCTGCAATGTAAAGCACACCGAAAGCGGCGAGTTAGTAAAAAAAGACGCGAGGAAACCAAGTTCACTTCGTGAAGACGCGAAGGGTACTACTCTTCAAGGTTTCATGAAATCTTCAAAGCTCACGCGATTCTTCTCTCTTCGAAAAGGCGTCTCGTGCTTCTTCATGGCTATATCGTTGGGAATCGTGACAACTGTGATTTCATGAAAGCTTGGAGAGCCATTTTTTTTTAATAAAGTGTAGAGAAACGAAAAGACGTTAGCCAACGAGCGATGATTCTTACATTCACTGGCGGAGGTAGTTTTGCGACGTTTTCCAGGTCGATCTTTCGAGTCGATCTTCTGAGATGTGGCACACAACGGCTGTTTTACAAGTAACGCACTTCGGCAAGGTCAACTTATGGGAAGATAAACTTTTATTGTAATTTAATGTTTTAAAACTTGGAATAGCATACGAAAGATACTGAAAATAAGAATTTAATTTCTGAAAAAAGAACGAACGGAGTCACTGCGGGGTCTCTTTTGTGTGATGACAGGCTTTCACGAAACCAAAATCAAGTGGAAAAAACAATTATCTTAATGAAACAATACTAAAAAAAGAAAAATTTAAAAGAGTTAAAGTAAGAACCTTAAATCTTCAAGTTATTGTTTAGTTATCTATCGATTTGCAGAAAGTATATATTTCTTCTTCTTCTTCTTCTCGAGGAATACGTAAAACACACATGATGTTCATGTTCTACACATACTTCTTTTCTTCCTGTCTTCTTCAAAACGTTACACTTTCATCTTCATTGTTTCTCTTCGTTTTCTTATTTCTATAAGAAAAAGTTACTTCTTCATAATGATGTAATTCTTCGTAATGATTTATATCGTCAACGATAATTTCATGTTATTTTCCGGCCGATCCGATCTGTAAACTTTCTTCGCTTGGACAATCCTTTAAACATCGTCGTCACAAAGGCGGCTACATCTTCAATGTCCGAACGCTATCTATGCTGATTGTTCATATGTCTTTGGAAACTACTACGTTGTTTAAACATCTTTCCGCAATATTCGCACCTGTATTGCGGTGGTTTGCCGCACTCCTCTCGCAAATGCCGGCACAAAGAGACTCTCCAGACGTAGCTTTTGCCGCAGAGTTGGCAGACGAACGATTTCCGGCTCGGCGATCTGCTGCTACCAGTCATCGTGTAGTCGAGAACTGTAAACGACAGAGAGATTAATGGTAATCAAACTGATCGTCGTAGAAGCCGTTTGTCCGATTCGCACTCGGTAGAAGTCGAAGCAGATCTGCTCTATGGGGAGAATCTCGTAGCATACAAACAATACACAGTGATCGACCCTGTTAATCAATTTAATTCGATTATATGTCGTTAATTGAACAGTCTATCAAATGATCGATCATTTCATCAGTTCAATCTGTTCAATAATTCATTAAATTCAGTCAGTTTTATCAGTTCGATAATTTCTTAAATTTACACGCGCCTCAGTGCTCAAGTTCACCAGTCGCATGCCTTCACCTGAAGAAATAGGCGATAACCCTGATTACCTTACCATGTTAGTACAAACAAGTTTTTTTCTCATTAGGTTAACACAATAAATGACATAAAACCGGGACACCGTCCATCGAAAGTGTACAATTGTTTTGACAGGGAAAAAGGAATACTGGTGGAAAAGACTTTTGTACTGTACACACATTTGTATTAAAATGAAATAAATTCCATTGTTTTGTGCTCCGAGAAGAAATTATATCACAATATATGAGACACGTTGCTATTATAAAGAAATAAAACATCGCAAAATCGATTTCCATATTCATGATTTAAAATCATGAATACGCTTCGTACGCTTTTTCTCTTGTTAATGAAACAATTTTTATTTTTTCAGAGGAAATATCTTTTGCACGTATCGCGTGCTGCGCTAGCATCAAGTACCACCTGAAACAGAATAATGTTCGCGAAGAAATACGGATAAAGTTTCACTAGACACAGAGACACAAGAGAAACAAGCTATTACGAGGGATTGGGATCCTCCACCGTGCTCAATCACGCGAATCTTAAGAGGCGTTCTGAATACCATTAGTCCATAACATCGTCAAGTTTTCACGTTTCGTTTTAATCATGCATTTTTTAGAGTTGTGCAAATTATTTACAGAACACCTTATATTTAGAGACCGCACCGTATTGTTAGGTTTCGTTACGAGGTCGTAAGAGATTATCATAAACAATCCAATAGATCTTATATTCTCTTTCTTTTTCTTACATGAACATTAGAACAGAAGCATTCATTTAATCACAATGCTCCCAATTCGAACTCATATCAAATTTAAGATAAAAAGACAGAAGTTCAACATGTAAATGTTTAATCGAGAAAATAGCATTTGTCTTCTCCCGCTGAGGAGGTCTGTTGTGCTTGTTGCGAGAAAACAGCCGCGAACTCTCATTCGATTGGATTCCGGCTGGCGTCACCTGAAAAAAAGATAATCGATCGATCAGATCGCGAAATCTTCCAAAATTGTCCAGCAATCTTTGTTCCACCTACCAACCAACGTGCAACACGTCGGCAAAGAACGACACTTCGTTAATTATCGTCGCGCGTAAACATTTGATTAACGTGCCAGGATTTGCTGTTGCAAATTTCAATCATGGCCACGGTGAAATTGTTCAAAAGTCAATACTACATAGAAATAGGTTAACGAAATAATACACAAGAAAAGAAACAAATTTTACGCACAAACAACACACATAAAACATACAATCACCGTCCATAATATCAAGGATTATATCTTTTACTATCTTTATTTCTGTTTTACAGTAATCACAATGTCATAATACAAATATAACAATAAAGACTGAGCGACTAGATATTTAGCCTGTATTTAGCGTAAAATATCTAGCGCTTGTCACACATGCAAAATGTTTCCTTTTTATCTGAACATGTCTGAATTTATCGGCGCTGAACGTACCTTCGAGCTACTTTTGAAAAAAAGATACATTACTCGTTTAGATCTCATCGAGAATCGTTTTAACACATTGACTGCTACGCTGGTTTTTACGAATTGTTCCGAAGTTTAACGGAAGTTTGAATATCAAAATCATGGTAAATACATATATTGGGTCCCTATTGGTCACACACGTATTTATTTAGTGACTTTTATTAGTTACGGTTTGGAAAGTAAATTAATTAGACATGGCAAAATCATAGTGCGGATTATCAGTGACCCCCACCACGTGGCGGTCAACGTGTTAACCTCGCGATTACCCCTCCATTCCGATCACAAAAAGTGATCGAAGTGAATCCTCGCGATATGCTTCGTCAAATGATGCTTATGCATGAAACGATAACCGCATACTGTGCAAACGAACTGCGGTTGCTTCCTGCACTCGACGCGCCGGTGCTTGCAGAGAGATTCTTTCCATTTGTACGACTTGCCGCAAGTGTCGCACACGAATCGTTTGTCGAGTAGCGTCGTGTCCAGAAACTTCTCAGGTGCATTGCTCAGCCTTATCTTGTGCTTTTGCTGCAACAGCCATGATCTTGAATCTGCAAATGAAGGAAGCAGAAAACGGTTGGAGCTGGTTAGTAAGTGTCGATATGTTGTTGGGGTCGCGGAAACGTCGGCATTCCTGTCGGAAATAGGACAGCATGAACATCGGATAGAATCGAGGGAATGATTTTGCGACGCGCGGAGTGCTGATCTTGGATGTTGCAAGCGCGATGAAAAATGCGTCATGCATATCATTTTGAAGGATTAGACTCGCTCAATCCTTGAAAATGAGCTTCAAAAGTGTTGCCGTATTATCGATCAATACCATGAAACAATCATAATTATTGGCATATTTCTCGTATTGTATGTCAAAGGAATATAATGTTGCGGAGAAGCAACAGAATTCAAGAGTCCCAGTCCTATATAGTCTACACACACATATAAGTACTTTCTCATACACATACACAAATATATTTCAAGAAACTAATATAGAAACGTTTTAGACAAAAAACTAAATAGAGGAATACTGGGAAACATTTTAGACGAGAAATTAAATAAAGGAATACTAGATTTCAAGATTCCACATTTACAAAGAGACATGTGTGTCTTCTTTTTATTTTTACCATCTCTATAGAAATAAATGCATCAGACGAGAGGTCGCGTTATATTGCCTCTTATTTACGTACATGTAACAATAATATATTAATCGAGTATACCGTGTATCAGATTCGATTTGCCTTAAACTATAATCTTGATAAGTGACTTGAAGGAAACAAAGAAATTCTTACTCCTCTGTTATTCCTATCGTAAATTTATAGAATTAGCTACTTCAAAATAGAAGTAATTAATTCGACTTATATCAAATTATCGCGCCTGATTATCTTATAGCTAGGGTTGGGTAATTGTTTATTTTTAATTAAGTTAAATTAAAAGTTAATGGCCTGTAAAATTAATTTAGTTAAATTAAAAGTTACCTAAACCAAAACTAATTAAAATAAAAGTTAAATCAATATAAAATTAACTTATTAAAATTAACAGTTAATTATGCAAAACCATATATTAGGAATATAACCAAGTTCTCTTCGCTGATTTTAAGTGATGCTAACAACGGCATATTGAGACTTTTGAAACTGTTGTTTTGTTAGTTGTTAGGTTGGCTAACATGCATTCAAACAACAGTATGACAGTTCGTTACTTAGCAATTAACTATACTTTTAGTTCAATCAAAAATAGACGACAAAAAGATACATTGCTTGCTTCACTGCTTCTATTGCTATAAAATCGCTGTTGAGGCAAAACAAATTTTTTGTGATACATATGGTAATAATATTGTGGCAAAAAGGAACGTGCTAAGATTAGTTTGCAAATTTTTTAATGGAAAGTTCGACGTAATCGACTGTGCTCTGAGATAATCGGAGACAAAGAGTTGCAAGCTCTTTTGGAAAAGTGCTGAAAACTCAGCACAATTATTATAATAAACCTATTTTTCGCAGTCTGTCACGATTTACCATAAGAAACTCTTCTTTCGTTGTCTTGTCAACGGTGCGAGACAAATGTCAAAACGCTATGCATAATTCTCTTCGGTCAATTAATGCGACATCCACTTTCCTTCCTTTTAGATCTTTCCTATAGCTTCAATCGCTTAGAAACTGCGGAATAAATTATTCCAAGATGTCCTGCAAGCTCTTTGTACGTTTATGTTGAGCTTTTATCCAAAAGTGCTTGCGATTCGTCTTCGATCGTCTCAGATCATTCAAAACGTGGTCAATCACTCACGTCGAACTCTTCACTTACATACAGAATGAGTCAGTTAAAATATTACAGATTTATATCTCGAAAACAAAGTATTTTAGAAAAAAATGTTTCAAAAGTTTTGTGGTTTCGAGGATGACATATAAGATGGTGTCGTTGGTTTAACCTTGGATAGTCATTTGAAAATCGCATACACGTCACCTACAATTTCTTAAATGGAAATTCCCATTTTTTATTGCATATTCTTGTAGCTTACTTCGGGAGCTTTTCAAAATACTATAACGAAGTATTGTTTTTATTAAGTACTTTTCGATTTATAAGACTTGAAAGTACCGCCGGCATTAGTATTACCAAAGATGTACCACGGGGAGTGTATTCGATCGGATTTACACCTCTGTTAACAGACACACAACACACTGTAAATTTCAAGTCTTATAACTGGAAAAGTACTTAAAAAAAAATACTTCATTATATGTTTTGAACAGTTCTCGGGGTAAATTACAAGAATATGCCCAGCAAACATAAAGTAACAGTTATATAAATATTAGTTATAATTTTCTTCTCAATAATATAACTGTTATATAACGCGTACGTTATAATTTTCTTCTCAATAATATAACTGTTATATAACGCGTACGTTATATAACAGTTATATTATTGAGAAGAAAATTATAACTAACATTTATATAACTGTTACTGTATTGCTTGCTGGGATGAATGCTTTGTTGTTTGCTGGGATGAATGAAAAATAGAGATTCCATTTAAGAAATTGAAAGTGACCTTCATGTGATCTTCAAACAACTATCCTAAGTCAAACTAATGACATCCTGTGTCCCCCTCGAAATCACAAAACTTTTGAAACATCATTCTCTAAAATGCTTTGTTTCCGAGATATAAAATTGTAACACTTTGACTCATCCTGTATTTTACAAAGCAATCTCGACACGTTCTTTTTGCTATAATATTGTCGCCATATATCTCACAAATAATTCTCGTTGTTTTAGCAGAGATTTTATTACGATAAAAATAGTAAAGCAAGCAATGGCGAAAATTTACCTTTTTGGCATCCATTTTTTATTGAACTTAAATGGTTAATTGTTGAGCAGCGAACTGTCATATTGTTGTTAGAATGCATGTCAGCCAATGTTACTAACAAAATAATTAACTTCAAAATTTTTAATACGCCGTTATCAGCTAAAGTCAGTGGAGAGAACTTAGTCGTACTCATAATACATATAAAATATATAAATATATATATGCATTTTTGCAGAATTAATTTTTTAATTATGGATTAAATTTATACTAAATAATAAAAAGGTAGTCTATTATAAGAAATATTGTTTTGTACTTATCAAAACTTATCAAAATTTCATACAAGAAAAGAATATTATATGTCAGAAAGACAAAAAATATTAGACTGGCATTAATTTTTATGTTTTTTTATTTTATACTGTAAGTACTCCCTAACAATATTACACGTATATGTGTATGATTATCGCGGGCTACTTACAATAAAAAATAAGAAACATAAAAAATTATATATTTTATAAGTTATTTTAACACTTTGCGGGCCGCGCATTTATCGAAGCGCCGTTACGCTGCCGCCGGCGAGATTCACGCAGGTTCTACTGCTCGTCAACGGTGATATTTACGCAATTTTTCGATACATAAGTAGTTGGTATATAATTATTATTAAAGAAGGCACTAAAATAACTGTTACACTATTTTTATTCCAATTATATTGGTATTGGCATTTTGAGGGATATCTAACGTAAGTTTCCTATATCTGAAGGTAGCGAAAGACAATCTCAAACTGACAAAACAAGCGTCCGCGAAAAA